GTGTGAGCGCACAGACGAGACCGTGTGACAGTCGGATGAGCTGCTTGTTGAGCCTATTGCACATCAGCCAGCGGTCCAGGGCATACTGTACGCCGATTGGCCCAGAAACCCTCGAATGATCGGCTCGGAATTTGTACTGTGAGTGGGTGAATGAGTCCATGAACATTTTTAGGCAAGACGAGAGGCTGAATTTTTGTGATGTTCACTATTTGAAATGAGTCTAAACGAAACGGGAGCAAATAAAGTGAACCAGTGTGTTGATGTGACTGAAACCCGGGGAGAGTAGCCACAATCTGGATACTGTAAGTGTGAAATATTTTCCATCTTCATGTAGCGGGCCTTTACAGCTTGCCGCTATCTGCGAGTATTGTTCAACTAATCAATACGCCGGCGATGAACGTTTATGGAGGAACTGTCTGTGGTTTGATGGTCTGTTTTGTGTCCTGTTTTTACACATTGACCGCTTATTATGACAAACTGCGGCTTTTGCTTACATGCGCTGCTGTAAAAAAAAAAAAAGAATAGTCGCACCTAAACGCGCTTACACGCTAAATATAGATTATTCTCGATATTTCATTATATGAGGATATGCATATATTTCATTATATGTATAAGCTATTGGAGGTTAATGTCGATACAGACAAATGATGCAAATGTGAAAATCCACCCTGCTTCCCCGACTGCCTCCTGGTTGTCGTATTTCGTCATCAATTATTAGTGAAGAGGCTGCTCTGCTCTTTGTCTGACTTCACTTGTGTCACAATCAGCTGGGTGGTCAAAGTAAACAGAGCAACAGGTTAAAACCCTCTTCCTGTCGATGCTGCTCCCTCTGCTCAATCAGTGACTGCACACTGTTAGAGGGGCGTTCAACACACCTCTTCTTCTTTTTACATCCAGGTGTCAAAGTTTGTGGCTGACTGGCCCTTTAGTGTGCAGGTGGACCAGAGACAGCAGTGAGGATGGGAGGCGGAGGCCAGCTGACGGGGCCAGGAGAGCAGGTCAGCGGGCGAGCTGGTGGCTTCTACACCTGGGAGGAGGTGCAGAGCCACTGCAACAGGAATGACCAGTGGCTGGTGATTGATCGAAAGGTTTACAACATTACTCAGTGGGCCAAAAGGCACCCAGGAGGGATCCGGGTCATCAGCCACTATGCTGGAGAGGATGCCACGGTAATATTTTATATTTCAACACGTTTCCTGAGAATACAAGAGGCTTTTTGCTGTTCTCCAACACTTTATTGAATATTAAACCAGTGGTTTCCAGCCTTTTTTGGCTTCTCAAATGATTTAATTTACAGGGTTTTTTTGTAATTGCCAAAACACAGATAACTGCTGTTTGTGGCACAACTATTGAAACCAGAATTGTCTACTTTATACACTAAGTTTGAAATTCCAAAACACATTTGCAAACGTTTTTTATTTACTGGGTTACTTTCTCATTTCTGTTTTCCAGGAGGCATTCACTGCTTTTCATCCCGATGTAAAGTTTGTGCGAAAGTTTCTGAAGCCCCTGCTGATTGGAGAGCTGGCAGCGACGGAGCCCAGCCAGGACCGAAACAAAAACGTGAGATCAGTCTCAGATTCTTCAAGTAAAAATAAACATCTCATTATTCATGGTGTCAGTGGGACAACACGGCTGGATTGATACCTCGTACAGAAACACCTGAGGAAAAGGAGTAGGTCAGACCATTCACACATCTGTTTTGTTATTCATGAGTCTTACAGTGTTCGGGAACATCTGAGATTCTGGACACTCATGTGTCTTTAGCTGTTAAATAACTCAAACTGCCTTAATGCCTTGTTTTTTTTCTTCTTTTTTGAATCTCTGTCCTAAAACTGTAAAGCTGCACACCCTTCAAATGTTGTGAGAACATCCCTTTTTTTTCTTGAACCCTCATTGACTGGTATTTCTTCGTCTCTGCTCTCAGGCGACAATCATACAGGATTTCCACACTTTACGTGCGAAGGTGGAGCGCGAGGGTCTGTTTCAAGCTCAGCCTTTGTTCTTCTGCCTCCACCTGGGTCACATCCTGCTGCTGGAGGCCCTCGCCTGGCTGATCGTCTGGGTCTGGGGAACTAGCTGGACACTGACCTTTCTGAGCGCCGTCATGCTGGCGACTGCGCAGGTGACTCGAACATCATTATCTCTTCGCTCGTGCCGTTATAGTTGACGAACTTTAAGTCAATGCTCGTTTACTCTTCCTCTTCTGTAGTTGCAGGCTGGATGGCTGCAGCACGACTTTGGCCACCTGTCTGTCTTCAAGAAGTCCAGCTGGAATCACGTGTTGCACAAGTTTGCCATCGGCCATTTGAAGGTAATTGGTATTCTCAATCGCTCATTTTGTTTTCTGAAGATTTTACAGATATTAAAGGATCGTTTTCTCAGGGAGCATCAGCCAACTGGTGGAATCACCGGCATTACCAGCATCACGCCAAACCCAACATCTTCAGTAAGGACCCTGATGTCAACATGTTGCACGTCTTCGTAGTTGGAGCAATTCAACCGGTTGAGGCAAGTAACTCATGTGGTTTTTTTTCTTAAACATGTGGTATTTAATCTTTCACCAGCTTCTCATCCTAACTTTCCTCTCTGTTGCAGTACGGCATAAAAAAGATCAAATATATGCCCTATCACCACCAACACCAGTACTTCTTTCTTGGTATGTTTCCTAAAGCCATTTAAAAAGAGGGAAACTATGAAAACTTCAGAGGAATAATAGTTCACTTTTTCTCTTTTTTAGTTGGACCGCCGCTTCTCATTCCAGTTTACTTCCACATTCAGATAATTCGCACCATGATTTCCCGCCACGACTGGGTGGTAAGATGCTGTCTTCTGTGTGGTACAGTGCAGATTATATGAGCATTTTATCTAGGTTATGTCAGGATACATGTTAGCTAGGTGAAGATAAGAGTTGAGTCTTGATAACGAAGATCGTATTAACCCTCTTGTCTCCATGAAGGATCTGGCTTGGTCTCTGTCTTACTACCTGCGCTACCTTTGCTGTTCTGTACCCATGTATGGCCTGTTTGGCTCAATGGTGCTCATCAGCTTCGTCAGGTAAACACCACCGTCCAAACATACACTTGCATTACCATAATGATATATTTAATAAATTACTTAATTTAAATCAACCCATTAGTTTCAGCATATGAACCCTTTATAAAGAATTATGAAGTGACGCCTCGTTTTTCTACAACACCTCGATCATATGGTGTGACACATTATTCAGTCACTTGTCTTGTGTTGCCTTATATTAGGTTTTTGGAGAGCAACTGGTTTGTGTGGGTGACTCAAATGAATCATCTGCCGATGAACATCGACCACGAGAAGCACCAGGACTGGCTGTCCATGCAGGTATCTGGTTTATTGTCAAACAGTCCACACAGTCAGCTGTACGTGCTGCTGATGTATTAACACGTCTTTTGTGTCATCCTCTACTTTAGTTGCACGCCACCTGTAATATCGAGCAGTCCCCCTTCAACGACTGGTTCAGCGGACACCTCAACTTTCAAATCGAACACCAGTAAGTCAGTGATTGAGTCTAAAGAGAACATGTGTTCATCGGTTCAAAGTTTGTAGGAAAAACAGACAAAAGGTCCTGAAATTAAAAGAGAAAGAATCATTCTATATACTGTACAACATAAACATCATACTGTATGAGAGCTTGAATAAGCTGATGATGTTTTGGAGGTATTGACTGTAGAGATGTCTGTCTTCTCTCCAATATATACTGTATATAATGAGACTATATGGCAGTCGGCTTGTGGTGCTCAAAGCGTCAAAAATGCATATGAAAAACTCAACAGCAGAGATCCTGAGCCAGTTACTCTCGATAATCCACAAACCTTGTTTTGAACAGTTTCATGCAGGAACTGTGGTTGAAAGAAAATAGGTTTTCAGAGACTGGAGGGAAAACTGTATTTCAAAGAGTTACATTTCTGGACCTCCAGTGCATTTAATAACTACAAAACACAACATGATCTTTTTCAGGAAATGAACAGAGAAAAGATGAAACTATTCTGTAGTTTGTAAAAATATAAACATTAGGACTGCAGTGACCTTCTGTTCCCTTTTGTCTCTGAAGTTTGTTTCCCACGATGCCACGCCACAACTACCACCTGGTGGCCCCGCAGGTCCGCGCACTGTGTGAGAAACATGGCGTTCCTTACCAGGTGAAAACAATGTGGCAAGGCCTCGCTGATGTTTTCAGGTAAGTCCAATGATAGTAGTTCATCGTCTACTGCCGGGATGAGACACGTTGAGGTTGTCTAAAAACTCCAACAGTTTTCATCTGACTAAACAAAGGCATGAACTCAAAAGTGCAACTGGCAGAATAACCAAGATAGAATGAGATTGTATTGTAATGAACAAATCTTAATTGTCGAGTGATGAATTGCTTGCCTGAAGAGTATCGTTTGTATTTTTGTTCTCATTATTCTTTCAGATCACTGAAAAACTCAGGCGACCTCTGGCTTGACGCATATCTCCATAAATGACAACTTTAATTCTCTGCACTGTACCTACAGGGAGTGACATTTTCCTCCTCTTCTGCATCATACATTGATTGTATCTGTTTGGTTTTATAATCCAGTTGATAGTGTGGGAATGATCTTTTTTAGTGTTGGTGTTACAGTTCAATTTTTTAGATTCTGTGCCGGGTCTTTAGTGCTCACAGGATTTCTCTGAATTGCCTTACAGTGTCTTGAACAACAGTAGTATGGTGTTATAGATACAATTGTGAAAACTGATTGTGAGGTATTTAATTTTCATTATCTATCATGTGAAGCAGAGCAATAAAATGAGACAATTACACGGACAAATTACAACTCCCGTGTAATTGAGGATTAATTAGTTACTGCACTTAATTTTAACTTACTTCTTTACTTGCAACTCTTGTTCTTATCTTCCAGTATAAAATAAAGGAAATGTATTGACTGTTTATCCACCTCTGCTATTATTAATCCAATGACAAACACAAGAATTCTGAACAAAAGAGATGTGATATCAAATATTTTCCAAGTTTATTTTCTTTTAAATATTCTTTTTAAACAATTTTGTCCCATAATATTTACAACCGTCTTTGAATGTTTTACCTAAATCTTCATTTAATTATTTTATATCAGATAATCTCATATATTCATCATTCCTGTGTCTGTACAGTTTACACTGCAACATATCATGCTGCATAAAAACACATTCATCACAGCGTCTCACTGTCATTGACTAATTAATAACTTCATGCAAGATTATTGACAGTTTCTCGCTGTCTGAATTCTGATTATAATCAGCAACATTAATCATGTTAATACCTACTGCTGCTCTACAGTTACCAACAGGATGAGACTATACTTCTGACATACATAGAGTGTGTTTTACTATTTATTGTACCTGTAAAACAGTAATATGAAAATAATTGGCTATATATCAGAAATTGTGTCAAACATTCTGGCACAGATTTAGATATGCGATAGCTAAGATCTAGTCATTCAGTAAATAGCTGGAATAACACCAATGCGCACAAACATTAACACTGCTCATACAAATATATACATTACATGCATGTTGTGCTTACACATGCTCCCACACACACACTCGCACACAAAACTGCATCGATTCATATGTTCCTCTGTTCATACGACAACAACATTTAATGAGACAATGAAAACCAAAGCAACATAATTAGATAAGAAAACACTGGAATACATACACGTTGGGTGATACAAAATAAATATACAATTAAAAATGTATACAGCATCTCAGTATGTTCTACTGTGGGTCATAATTAGCAGAAGATTGATTACAGAAGCTGCTGCTGTGAGAGCGTGAAAGCATCTGGATGGGTCGTCCTGCTCAGCAGGTTCAGTCTATGTTGCCAGAGTCGATCCTCTCCTGCCGCCGCTTCATGATCTCCTGCAGTTCTGAGGCCCCGCTGGTCTTCTGTAAAAGTAACACATTTCATTTTTTTTCTCTTGAAACTACTGTTCATCATTTACTAATTTTTGTGCACACATTTTATAAAAAGTACATTTTACATTGAATGAATAATATCACAGGTAATTCATTTTTTTTTTACAGTTTAAAATAATAGATCTAAGATCTTAGATCGAAGCTTTAGATCTCACCCATTGGTATGTCGCAAAGTTTTTATTTACAATACTTATGGTGTAAAGAGATTCATCTACTGTTTATTGTAATTTGGTAATTTGTATTTATTTATTCTACATAACTGTTATTATGTTATTGTCCTTGTGGGGAATTATGTAATAATCCTGCCTCGCTAAAGTTCAAGTTTATCGTCATATACTTTATAAAGTACAGACATTCTACAAAATGTCACTGAGTTATTTAAAGTGCTTGCTGTTCAGCAGTCTGGCTGCCTGGGGGTTAGTTCTGACCGCTCTGTGGACTTCACCTGTATGTACTTAATGAGTGTGACTGTAATACTCTGCTGACATCAGCTTTTGGAAGAGTGTATGGACTTGTTGTAACATGCCCAGATAAAGACTGAAAGCTGAGAACGGTGAGTATTATCCAAATCTATTTAAGACGATTTACATTTTTTGCAAACATGTTGAAACGGTGTTCATTTGTCGATTTAAAAATAAATTGTTGTGGTCTAACTGTGAACGGAACAGCTTTGTTGTAACAGATGTTTGCTACTACAGTTTGCGTGCTACTTGAACAAGTGTATGACCGACCTCCAGCTGTGCTTTCTGCACGGTGACCTGACAATAGACACGTCCACCTTCTTCTTCGCACACCGCCTTCAGTTCTTCTTTGTTGAGGGAAAAGAGTTGAGCTCCAGTCAGGATCCCCAAACATTCAACAGTCCTGCAAACAGTCAATTACTTTACTCATTATAAAATATAAATGCATTTCTTAAATCCATTGGTAAGTACACTGATGTTGCTAAAACACTGTAGATCCAAAGAGAAAGTCTTGGTTGCATTTTAACATATACAGTAACTGCAGGAAAAGCATAGATGTAATCAATAACATTAATAAAGACCAGATTCATCAGGGTTGAGTCTGTTCCAGCGTCCTGGTACTGTGCATGCATGGCTCGCTGGGATGGCTTACTGGGACATTTAATGGAACTGAGCCATCATCAATGTTATTAATGACACCTGTGCTTCCCATGTCATCCTGCAGGGAGCATGAATGTCAAATTTCATGGCAATCCATTTAATATTTGTGGAGGTAGGATTCATCTTAAAGAAACCTTGAATGTAAAGAAATGCTCAGTTGTATGCATAGACAGTGTCCGGCTGTTGGTTTGGACAGAAAGGGTCTTGTTGCTGATGTTGTTGACCTTGTGTGTACGTTCTTTCAATGTAATCTAATTTGTAGCCTGAAGATGTCCTTCAATTTAACAGTAACAAATACTCAGAGTATATTGTAACTGACCTACTTTTTTACTTTTACTTAAGTATATTTTCACAGAAGTACTTTTAATGGAGTACAATATTCTAGCAGGCTACTCTTTCCACCTCTGGCTATTGGAGTTGTAATACGATGCAGCTTTTAATTGGCCTACATTTGTCATTTTAGTGAGAACTTCTGGTGTGGGAAGTATTTGTTTTGCTGCATTGATGAGCGTCGTGGGTGACTTACGCTTTAGAGAAACCTTTTGCGCTGAGCCATTCTGTCACCTGCTCCGGGTTTGAGTCAAACGTGAGCGGTACTTGGCTGCCAGACGATCGCTCCACACGGAACTTCCTGGCGGCCGGCTGGCTTTTGTTAGCAGTGATCATCATCAATAACTCATTGTTGACTTCATCCATCACTGCAGCACAGAAACAAGGCATCAGCAGACATGAGAATAGAGCAATTATGACACATCTGTAATTCCCAGATCTTGCTTTGTGTTACTTTGTTTGTGTTTACTCACTTTTGTCTTTGGGTCTACCCTTGTTGAAGCTGTCTCCATGGCTCAGAGAAACGGGAGGTGACGTACTGTAGCCTGGCTGCACACACACACAGAAACAAACACAGTTCATGAGAAACCAGCTATTATTCCACAAACAGGTTTGTCTTTCATCTCACTGGTGGTTGATACATTTTTGCCCCGGAGCCAAAAGAGAAAATATGTGTGTGAAAGAATTTGACACCAGGAAGAGTAGCTGCATGCAGCATCTGCTGCAGGGCGTTGGTGAACCTGCATGCAGCGTGCATGTGTGCAGTGCGTGTCTATAGGAATGTAGGCTTTTGTTGAGGGTGGGAACGCATTGCTGCACAATGAGTAGGATCACAACAAGTGCAGAGAGTTTGTACACAAAGCTGCACTGATCTAGGAGCAGCGTTCAGGTGATATGACTGCAAACGTTCCTTTTAAATTGTTATTTTGCTTTGTTTTAAAGAAAGTTATTAAAACTGATTTTTACATGCTATACTTTGTTTTTATACATCTAGGTTTTTTATTCAACTGATTACTTATTTATCACTGTAAAATATCTTTATCAGGACTCCTTCATGTGTATTAATCATCTTGCACTTTAAACCCGGGTGCAACAATTTTCCAGAAAGCAGTGATAAAGAAACCTTGACCCGTCTCATTACAACGTGATTACATTTCCCAGAATTCATTGTGGCACCTCTTGATAAGACACCTGAGGTTGTGCAGCTGAGATAAGGATGATGACTCTAAGTAAGTGAGAGTGAACTGACATATATAAAAATTCAAAAAGCTGGAAAAAGTCTATTCAAAACAGCATTTCCTGTGGCTGCATTGCATTCTGGTCTACTAAAGCAGACAAAATAGTATCTTGAAATGTTTTTTGTGTAGCTGCTGGAAACATTGCCTGTGGGAATGCTAGAATTACATCACACAGCTACAACAGGCTTAGAAATAACACAAGTTTTTAACAATGCTATCAGAAAAAGGGGCTAAATTCCTTAATGAGAACTGAAGGATTGCCTCCCCACAGCTCTCAACATGGCAACGACTGGGCCGGCGGCTCATAGCGAACAACGTTAACAGCGCAAACAGTGCAAACATTGAGATCGGTGTTAACTGGAGGGGGAACCGGAGGGTGGGCGATAAGCTTCCGAGACGCAGTGCAGTGAGCGCAGTGCAGAGCGGCAGCCATTAGCTAGCCAGTGAGGCACGCTCACGTTCACTAATATACGGCAGGTACGGCCGGCCCGGCCATGTAAACACAGGAAGGAGAAGCTCAGATAAAAACACAAAGATCGGATCGCAACTTTATTTTCAGCTCAGGTAGACATAGACTTGGTAAATGCTAAATGGACTTGGACTTGTAAAGCTGTTTTCTAGTTTTCCAACCACTCAAAGCGCTTTAACACTAAATGTCATCATTCACCCATTCACACCCCTTCATACACTGATGGCAGGGGCCACCTGCCCATCAGGACTATCTAACATTCATCCAGTACCACAGGCACAGCCTACGGGAGCAATTTGGGATTAAATGTCCTGCCAAAGGACACATTGACATGGACTAGGGGAGCCGGGGATCAATGCAGCCACAGGACATGTTGTGCCGATCCTCTGATTGCAGGACGAGCCGCTTTACCACTGAGCCACACTCAACATTACTCCATTATATCTAGATGCTAGTTGTGTGCTGCTGTGTTATAAATGGAGAACCTTTTAAGTGAATCATTTCCTGAGCTCACACATACACAGCCAAAGATTTATCGTGTTCATCAGAGAATGTAATGTTAATGCTCTGCATGTATAGAACAACAGGCCACCTGGTTGTAGACGGCTTCCGGCTCCTCGATCTTCACCACGTCCAGGATGTTAAACGGGACGTAGCCGGCCTGACCACTGCGATTCCGTAGTTTCCACCACTGTTTGTTATCCTCTATCACCTGCGAGACAATTTTCACATCTCAATCCGAAATTGCTTCAGTGGTGGAAGTGCTTTTATGGTTTAGCACTGGACATTCGCTCATTTATACAATTTGTTCAGACAAATCAGACAAATCAGATTAGCTGCATTTTTAACTGTTTACCTTTACAGAAGGTCAATTTATGTTTTTGCTCAAGAAGGCTGGGGAGGGGTTTGCATCACCACTGCCAGATGCTACAATCTACATCTGCATTTGTTGTAGATTAAAAACGATGTGTCAATGTTCTGTGAATTAGTTTTTTACCTCGAGGATTTCATCCTGCAGCACTGACAACTCGTTGGCATTCCGTGCTACGAAGTGGTAGCGAATTTTGGCATATTTGCGAGTGGGGGGCATCCCATTGTGAGACCTGTTAAGACACATGGTATCCGCTCAGCACACTGTGACATGTTTTTTGACATGTGTGAAAGAGGCAGCGACGTTTGTGAAGGACTTCATTACTTACCCATTTGATGAGTTTGAGGCATGTGTTCCATAATACTAAAAAAGCAGACAGATTGTTACATGTTCAGGTGTTGGGACCTGTAATGGTCGGTACATTCACAGACAGTAGCTAACAAACAAGTCCCTTACGTCTTCAGCTGAATGTCTTCTGTAATCGGGGCTGGTGAGAGACCCCGTTGGCCCCGTGGGTCCCTCTGTTTCCCATGGGGCCGCCCTGAGGAGCTCCAGCGGCGGCTCCCAGCCATTACGAAACTTAGGGTGATAAGGAGGCGCACACTGATCCCTGGGCCACTCCGCTCTGCCACAGGAGGGACAGGATGGTCAAAAATGTGACCTTTTAAACTACACATCTGTTCAGACAGAGCCAGGCAAAATAATGCACTGAACTCTCGATCGCTCCCAATGGTCAGGCCAGCATTTTGCATGGTAGCTCACTGTCGTCAGTGTGTGACTCGGTGTGTGAATGAGAGGCAAATTGTGACGAGCTTTGGATAAACGTGCACTTGAAATGCAGCCATTTATGTACCTGGGTTTGGTCCATCCATCCCCCAGCAGCTCAAAGATGGTCATCTCTTTGGGGGAGAGGTGTCCCCGCAGGAAGTCGACAGTGTTTTTGGAGAGGTGAGGGGAGATTACTGAACGCACAAGGTCAGGACTCCCACAGCTCTGCAGCACCTGTGGACACATTCAGGAGTTTACTTTTTAGCAATGTGCTAAGACAGATATATATATATATACTGTATATATAAATATACATATTTTATGTTTTTAATTTGTATCAGAAAATGATTGATGAAGTAATTACAGAATAATTAAACCAGACTGAAGCTCTAGCCAAACATTCTGTGCCATTTTCGAAACTAGAAAGTCTTCACTACTCAATGCTCCACACATTTTGGCCAATCTTCAAAAAATGTTGAGGTTTGATATCCAGCCATAGTGTTCACCAAAGAAATTAAACTAAACTAAATAGTTCTGCTCTTTAATCTGAAGATCCTTTATTGTTTTCAGAAGGCATGAAAGTAATAATTAAAAAGCAATTAACAGCATCCTGGATAAAATATTGATTAACTGCATCAGAAATCTCGGTTAGATGTACAGCTAGAGAACAGCTAGAGGCCGTGGGGCCACACTTTGAATATTACTGCTCTGCCTTTGTCTCGACAAGCAAATTAAACATGTCCAGAGGTTACTGCACATTGTCAACTGGCAGAGCCTAATCACAGCTATGCGTTTCTTTACCAGCAGTATCGAAGGTGTGACCGAAAACTGCAGGGTCGGAAACCTGCATTATGCAAATATGGCTGCACCTAAGTCAGAGCTGATAGCCACGTAGCTCCAGTCTGGTGAGAGTTTATTAGAGCAGCAAGGGGTGTGGTGGCAGAAAAGATAACAGCAATAAGAGGAATGTCTGATGGCAACAATGCAAACGCTTAACTGCTTTAATTCTGTGCGTTATTGTTACGGCTCAGTCAACATTGAGAGAATGAAATGACATGGAGTACTCATTTAGAGTGGATTAATATCGTTGGCATTCACTCAAAGGATGATAGCATCACCTATAATAGCCTTTATTCATATCTGTATCAGACACACTTTGTACAGATTTATAGCTCTTACCAGCTCCAGGGGGCCGAAGAGGAAATGAACCAGCTCAGACGCACTTGGATTCTGTATGTGTTTCTTCAGTTTGGCCTGCAGGGGGCGCCATGACAGACACACAGTGAGATGGTGATGCAGAGAGGACTAGTGATGACTGAGGAGAGGTTAGGAGCTGTGATATCTCACCAAGAGGTTGAGGGCCAGCTTCAGTTTCTGCAGGCTATCAATGAACTCTGCTTCAGTGGGGGGCTTGGCTCGCAGGGTCAGCATGCCATCTATAAACAACCAGAGCAACAATGACCACACACAGACTCCAGAGTTACCAGCCCTCCATTCAGACATATCACAGACAGAACACAGGATTCACTTTCTGGCCACAGTTCAAAGAAATGGTATTTTTGTCAGTGAAATAAAGGCAAGCAGTAAAATGATGGTTAGTTAATAAACAGCTCTGCATTTTAAAAAAAATCACCTTGACCAGAGAGTAAAGCTTAAGAAAGAATGTGCTACATCAGTGTTTCTCAACCTGAGACCCAGAAGGTCCCAACATTCTCACAACCCCAGAAGCCAGAGTCATGAAATGGGAATTAGTATTCCTTTAAATTGTATTTTCAGGGGTATGGAGGTTCCAAATTAAATAATGGTTATGAGATAAATCAGACGTACTGATTTAACTATACATAATTATATTTATATAATATATATTTGAAATGTTTTGATCATGTATCTGGGATTCTGACCCCAAAGTTGAGAAACTGATTCTCTAGAAAGAGAATACATCATTTTCAGCTCATCTGTCAGAGTCAGGAACAACCAAAAGATGTGTGTATAAGTAACACATACTGTGTGTGTTTGCACCTAACCAGTCACATGGAAAACAACACATCGCATGTATGTAAAGAATGTCTTGCTGCGAAGGAAACAAGGTGTGTTGAAATAGAAACACAGCATCACACCACTGCCAGTGTTGGGTGGTAAAACATTACTTAGCTACATGTTACAGTAATATTATTACTTTTCACGGTTAGCTGCTATTACACTTTCAGTCCATAGATGAACAAACATTTGGTTTCAATTAAAATAGTTTTGGCTCATCTAATCTGCATCTCAAGGTAGCCTCCATGCATAGTTTAACTGAGTTAAATCGAAATTAAATCTTCCTTCTGGTATGCCAATATTTTTTTAAACATAATACCAGATAGACCGACGCACACTGATAATAATAATTTAAACATTTTAACATGACAGAGATACCTCAGTTCAGCTTTCCCAGGGAGTGGATAAGAAGTAATAGTATGACCTCAGTTATGACAGTTGAGTAATGAGTATTGTGTTACTTAACAGAAAGCCAAACTGGCCACTGCTACCACACATGCATCACTGGATGACAGTCCCGGGCCACAGGACACAAACAGAAAAACATGACAATGTGAGCAATATGAGCATATTGTCACTGCATTCGTGCCACCACAACAGAAGAAAGGGAGACAGACCTGCTGGTCCTTTCTTCTTATTCTTCTTACTCTTGTTGCGCTGGTTGAGCTGAGAAAAGGCCTCCGTTGCCTTTTGCAGCCGCGCCACAAAGATCTCAATGTCATCCAGGGAACAGTTGAGGATTTGCTGAGGGAGACAAACCCTTGGGTTTAGCTTGAAGAATATAGCGCCACGAGCCGGTGAAAGGAGCTGTGTAATGTAATGACAGGCGTCGGTGTGGATAACAAACACTCACCACATCCTTCTCAATGCGCTGGGCCAGCTTTTCATGTGACTCTGTGTCATTTTGTCTGGAGGCTCGTCGATCTACATGCAAACATAAAAAAAGCTCTTGTGAATGCAACTATTGCGTCAAACCGGAGCTGTGCATGTGAAAAGGGCTTTCTTTTGAGTGCATGTGCAGTATGTGTATTCTCACCCTGTGTGTTCATGGCTGCCGCGCGTCCTTTCGCAGCAGGTGAGGGGCCCTTAGGGGCCGAGGTGGGAAGGATAGTTTCTCTGTGGCGCTTCATTTTCTCCTGATTCACCCTGGAGAGAGAGGAGGAGGCATTGAGACCTTCAGAAATCTAACATCAAGTTAGCTAACTACTAATTAGAAGTCTGTGTCGCCTCCTTCGATGTGTATTTGACTGCAAGAAGGTGTGTGTGTGTGTGTGTGTGTGTGTGTGTGTGTGTGTGTGTGTGTGTGTGTGTTTCTGCTGCAGCACTGTTCTCACTTCAGAGTCTGAAGCCTCATTTTCTTTCCATGCTTGTTGTCTCCAATGGCACTGTCTATATCTGCATGGACCATCTCAGCCTGAGGAAAGTGAGGAGAGACACACAGAGTCAAACTTCACATACTGTATGGTGGTAGAGCTTCACTGGCAGCCAGAGTTACCGATCTAGGGTCTAGATCAAATTGCAATATTGCCAAATTGAATTGTGAAAGTTTGCAGTTTAATATCCTATTGCAAACTGACATTAATATCTACCACATGATGGATTTGACATATTCTATACAGTAAAAGAAAAAGTGATACATTTTATACTATCTTCAGGAAAGCTATGCATCCATGGTGATAATTGTTTTCTGATATTCTGTCATTCGGATTATTGGTCTAGAACTAAATGTTTTGGAGTAACATATAATCCATTCATATATTTAAAAAGTTTTATCGACGATCATCTATGCAAAGCTTTGGCTTCTGGAGAACTGTAGCTTTTGTTGTTGTGATGCCCTTCAGACCTTTGAGAGTGCAGCAGAGTGAACTTTTGAAGTCCAAAAACCTACAAACATTTTTCAGATTTTGAAAAGCTGTCCTATTCTTTCTCCTCATTGAATAACAGAATCGTCAGAGTTTCGATAGCTAAGAAAATCCTCGTTCACTTATATCCTTTCAATGAATACAAAGGTAAGCAATATGTGATAGTCCAAAGGTCATGTTATTCAGATCCTCCAACCCTGCTCAGCGTTTATGAGCCAACATTTCTCTTAAACTATTTCTTTGGACTTACTAGTAGCCTTGTGATTCTGAACTATTGAAAGGTATTGTCTTTACAAGAAGTTATTGTATTATATCCTTTCAGGGATTGATCTTCCCCGGAGAAGGCTGCAAGGCTGCAAACAATGTAAAAGGATACACACAAGCACACTGCCTCCAACAGCACTGAAATCTGACCTGGCGCTCCAACAACAGCAGCTTGGATTTACAAATGACATAAAACACAAAGCCAGCCAATTCACGCACGGACAATAACGGATGCAAACTGAGCCAAGCCTGCATCATTTAAACAGACTCACCTCCACCTCGTCACAGTGGAAGAAGTGGACGTCGGGTTTGTGCTGCTCCTTGTCCTGACACACCAGCAGGAGGACAGAGGGGTAACGTGTCTGATTCAGGACCGTCTGACTCATGTGGATTGTGGCGAGAGGGAAGTTCTCCAACTCTTCCTGCAGGAGCACAACAGAGGAATAGTTAGAGGGGAGGAGGTGGAGGAAGAGAAAGAGCAAGACACTATCTGAGTGGGCCTGAGTAAGATAGAACAATACTACAAATAGTCTTTAAAACATGATGACACTCTCATATTTGCACTCTACATGGAGTGTTGTGTGATTTTTTTTATCTTTGGACAAAGCCAGGCTAGCTGTCTCTGCCTGCTTCTAGTCTTTATGCTAAGCTAAGCTAACCGTCTGCTGGCTGTAGCTTATTGAACAGACAGAGTGATATCAATCTTCTCATGTAACTTTTGGCAAATAAGCAAATTCCACAAAATGTCTAACTATTCCTTTAAAGGTTGTTCAATGTGTGAATTGACAGAATTATAATCACGTTGGACATTATGACGTATGTAAAAAAAAAAATTACTATTTTACTGAACTGTACCACATTTAATTAAAACTTAAAGAGGCACCTGAGCGTGTTTGTATTGCATTAAGTTGGGACACTTGTGAGAGACAGATTAAAATAATATCGATGCACAGAAGGCCAATATATTCTTACTTTTAACAACGTCCATCATGCACCTTCATACTCAAACTCCCTGCCTGGTTAAATTCTCACATCTTTCAAACTCCAACCTCCCACTCTCTAGTGCAGGTTTTCTGCATGTGCTTTACAGTTTGTGATGCTGTAGATCCCAAACACAAATCAGTGCCTTTTAAATGTGAAGTTTATTGGATGCTAACATAATCTGATGATGAAGCCGTACCTGTGTGTCACAGTCCAGCAGCCTGACCGCTTTGTCGGTGACCTGCAGGAGCATCTCCTGGGTCCAGATTTTGTCTTTTGTGTCAAGAAGGACCAGTTTCTTGATAGCATCGTCCACTGTAGTAATGGACTCCGTCTTGTCCATTATGAACGTGGAGAGATGCTGAGTAGAAAACAGTGAGTGGGTAAATGAAGGATAAGATTTATGGTTGTAAGGGGACTTTAACATGGTGTGACGTAAAAACAACGACTGTATGGAAAGTAGGAAAGGTATGTCGGTGGCCTAATCTGAAATACAGACTATTTTTAGTTAACTGGCTGTGTTAAGGTAATAGTTTGACAATTTGGAAAATTGGTATTAATCTTCTAATTAACTCTCAGCAAGAAAGCAAAAAAGGATATTTCCCATTCCAAAACTGTTTCTAACACTGTAACTGTGCTGTACTGTATAGTTAGGCCTGTTTTCTTACAGCTATTACCTGAAAGAAAACTAAAGTACTTAACTTGAAAATTCCTCACGATGCCTTCAGCTCACAGCATTACTTAGCCGTGTGAATTACTTGTTTTATCTGACATCGAAGCTGCAATATCACCACTTCCATGGCTCTCTGCATGCAGCTGTTGCCAGCGGGGCTCTTATCTGAGACCACCTGCCCATGTGTGATAACAGGGAGGCATTTAGAGAAATCCTACCCACAGGGACACAGGCCATAGTTCAACACCATCCCTGACCTAAATAATGTGTCAGGCTTAGACTTCCCATCATCAGTTCCCCACTGCTGAAGCCTGATTGTTTTATTATATATGAATGGACTCTTGAAAGACTGCTCAAGAGGTTAAGAGTTTATCTCTGGCCAAAAGAACAATATACAACATTTAGAGTAAGTGTGTTTCTTTCATCTTGTTTTTCCCATGAGGTTCATTGACCTTTTTAAAAAAATATTATCTTCTATCTTTCCTTTTTTTAAGCCTGGTTTAGATTTTGTATATGTGTGACAGGAAAAATTGAGAAAAAGAGAGAGTTAGAACATAGTTCCTCAGCTGGATTCCATCTGGAGACATAATGCTTATGGGGTTTACAACTACTGGAATAGCAGAACAAGATTTTCTCTCTTAGTTGCTCATTTTTATACATAGTTCAAAATTTGCTATCTATTTTATTTTTATTGAGTTCATTTTATGTTATCTCAAAAGGCCTTTATTTATCTCCCCAGTCACAAGGCAGGTGAACAGGTACCACATGCATAAGTATATAAAAGTATATAAAAACATAAATCAAACATTTAAATACAGAATGATGATTCAGAGAGCAATGTCCAGGAAACTATTAAACAGTAACTTTTGATTTCACTTTAATGAGTACAAAAATGATTTTAACCTTAATAATAACAATAATAATAATAAGGTAAAGTGTGTTAAAGTGCCTCTCACACTGATCGGTTTACCTCACAGCCTCTGTAATACTATTAAATAAATATGCAGTCTTTCTACTTAAACATGTATTTTCCTTTTTTTCTAAAAACTTTTAAAAATACAAGAACAGTCAAAATTATAACACAGATAAACACAAATGGAGTCTTACCTCAACATGATACTGCGACGTCTCATGCATGATATAATTGGAGTTGGAGTATTTTTTCCTCTGTTCTGTTGATAAGAAAACAAAAACACCAAAAGTGAAAAACTGTGAATCAAGTCCTGCCTGTGATCTTACAGTTAATCTTTTATAAACAACCAGCAGTGACACTGACCTAAACTCCACATGTTGCCCGTTGCAGTAGAAAGAACAGATGACACAAAACACTCGTATGCAAGCTGAAAAGACCAGCACAGCAATAAGGAAGTGACATGAATACGTGTGTGGGGCGTTTCTTTTCATGCTCTATCTGTAGACTTCACAGTCAACTATACTGTTCAATATTCACATCAATTTTGTATGAATAGTGAATGGTGTTTTACAGTATATTTAACAATAGTGCCTTTCTCTGCAAGAAGTGCAATAGTGGTCAAACGTTACTTGTGAAATTACATTTTGTGTCCAAAAGTGTCCTGCAATAAGGCAAATAAAATGAAAACACCTATCTGAGAAGTTAATTATTAAATCTCATATCAAAGAGTCTGCGTGACTTGATTTACCCCCTAACATTACAGCTTGTTGACCAGACTGGCATTAACTACACCCACCAATTACAGGCGCTGATTTACTGCAGGGTCAAAGATCAGTAATGCTATTCTCGACAGCACCATGCTAAGAGTTGGTCAACATGCTGTGAATTTAGCCTGGAATGTTTTAGAACAAACCTGTTAAGTAGTAACAGAGGTGAGAGTACCCTAAATAGGGGCATGCAAATAGTTTTTTGTCAGTGCTACCAGTGATTTAGATTAAACCAATGTCACCACACAAATCTACACAATAAAGATTCACTCTAGACATATTGTAAGACAGGCAATACTCTGCTCTGAATAATAACTTGTGTCTGGTCACAAACAAAACAATTCTAAACTACTTGTACACTCTAAAAAGCCTGTTTACTAGAAATCCAGAATCTACACAACATTGATATATCATCACCTATTAAGTTCAAATGGGGAACCTGTTAGCAAACAGTTGCTTATTTACACATCTGGCAGTTACAGAGCAACATTATCATTCATTTGGAGTTTTGTTTCTGGCCACCTGGTGAATGTAAGTCCAGTATTTACTCTCTTTGGGCTCTGATTTTGGTCTCTACAAAACCCGCGATGGCAGTCTTGTAAGGATGTCCTAAACCAAGACTAAGTCATGACCAAGACCAGAGTACATCAAGACCGAGAGACCAAGACTTTGAGGGGTTGAGACCAAGTCAAGACCAAGACAAAGGCAAGCCAAGACCTAGTTAAGAACCAGATCAGCGAGAGTCCCAGTGCTGCTGTGTGCTTCTAGGTATCCAAATTTGTTTTTGCCAAAGATTTAGCTCAAATCTCTTCCAAGACAGCCAGAGCTTTCTCCTGTCTACCGCGTGTGAAGAGGGGCGGGGATGTGTGACAGCCGTTAACGGTTACAAAAAAAATAGAAATAGAAATAAGTCACGTTATTGGTTGCATTGCAAGCAGGAAGTGTTGCATCTTCTCACAGTAATGATATCAACAAATAAATCAAACAATGCACACGCAATTTAGTGATATACCGGCAGCTGTGGTCTTGGAAAAAATCAGCAGTAAGCCTTAATATAATTTAAACGGCTGAGTTATATAACAATTCACACCCGTACAGTTGTCATGGACGGGGAAATTACATAGAGACCAAAACATTTGTTTATACTAGACTGTAAACATATTTACATCTGCTGTAAAGTTCAGCATTTTAACATGGGGTCTATGGAGATTGACTTGCTTTTGATGTCAGCCTTAAGTGGCCATTTGAGGAACTGCAAGTTTTGGCACTTCATTTCTCAGCACCGGAGGTTGCCGCTTGCAAAAAAAATGTTATTTAATTACAATACATTTTAAATGGTGACCTGTTAAAAGTTTGAATGTCATTTAAACACTTGAGCTAACTCCATTTTGAAGAAGGAATTGTAGACAGCACTGTGTGTACTGTTGGCTGGGACCAGTGTCTTCAAACAGGCCGAAGGTAAATGAGTATGCCAGTGTGCTCATTGACCTATTTACCAGCTGAATAGTCTGCAGGTTACAATTACGGTTAAATGAGAGTATGTTCTTGTCAACACTGGCAGATTCATATCAGGTCTCTTTATGTCCCCCACCCAATAGAGTCAACATTTTGATGCTGCACAGGTTTATTCTCCATACAGACGTTCAGCCATATTTCACTTCATGTCCTTTTTGTTGACTGTGGCACAAAAGCTCTGCTGTTTGTATAACCCTTAATGAATGTGTGTCAAGCCTCTAAATGTCATAATATCTGTTTATTGATGATTAAGTGTAATCATTCTTCATAGTGCTCGGCCTTTTCCATGTTCCTAGCAGCTTTTTTGTATGCTGCCGCTGCCCAAATGACGCAAGCATGTTCCGGCTATTTCCTCTCTGCTGATTCCTTCCTGCTTGGCTCCCCACAGGTGAAACACAAGCGTCAAGTGTCGTACTGAAAGTCGAGCTCGCCCCATGTCTTATTAATGGACTGACATTTACGCCAATCAATTCACAGCGCTGCAACAGCTTGCAATAAGAGCCACTTAGCAGGCAGATGGGCAGATCCTCAGGGCTCTCCAGAGTCACTGACCAGTGATAAACATAGCTGCTTGGCAGATTATCAAACCAATACATGGCCCAGATCAATCGGACAATCTGACCTCCTAATAAATGCCCTTTAAACAAACTGAGACCTGATATTTAACGGGACTCAACACAAATAAAAAGTAGTAAAAATGTTTGATACAATGCCATGAAACTGAAACGTTTTGCAAATCTAATTTGATTAACAAAAACAACAAAAATCCTGCATTGCCCAAAAAGGCAGAATGAGCCACAATACACGTTGTGGAAGAGTGCTGCTGTGTCCACAAAGATTATGTCACCAAAATATCATATTAACAAACCTCACAGTCTAATTCACCAAAGAGTTGCTCTCTCAAACTACGTAAAACAAATGAATACAAGTTTACATCATGCATTTGTCTATCAGGCACAGTAAGAGGCCAAACACGTACAATACAGCCACTGATAACTGGAACTATTGGATCTTATTGGACATTCAGCTGAATTCCATACATACACAGACTTTAAAGAAAAACAGCAGAGCAGGACGAGAGAATTAACACGTGTTTAGTCAGTCTCACCGCCCAAACGCATTTTACCTGACAAAAACGTGCTCCTCAACCTCAAACCAAGAAACTCAAGAAAACTGCCGGATGGTCTGAAGTCCAGAGGTGATGAATCTGATGTGGCACGTCTCTGCTCTAACACCAAAGCTGCTGATAACAGATCAGGGTGGAGGACCTGTGCATTATTTGCATCTGCTATGTGCTGCCCTGCACTGTGTATGGGGGAGTTTTGCATACGGGACATTGAGCTGGGACTTTTGCTGTTGTTCCTCTACATGTTTACTCAGCAGCAGACCTTTATCTATCCAAATATCTCCCACTGTTATGGATGGTGCACAACATTGTGCAGTCTCCTGCCTCTGTGGTTCGGGAGGACAGGCATGCTGCTGTCATCCTGCAATGAGAAGGTAGCGTGACCATCTGCCACACAAGATGAGACGAAAAACAATGAAAAACAGCACAGCCTCGTCACGCATACAGCGGGATATTTCACAGGGATCCCAGGAGTGGGTGGGTCCTGTGGACTTGCAGCATAAAAATAAATCACAGACAACGAGGTGCACAGTCAGATGCTTTGGGAACATCTTGCATCCCTACAATACACCATCTGTCATTTGAGGCCATTCTTTATTTGGAACAGTGCAGCCATGCACGAGAGCAGGTTGTCCGGGCCTACCTCAGTGTAGGTTTCTATCTATCTGCTATACAATGTTCCTCTATGTTGGCAGTGTGTGGAGGGAGGTGCTGGCAGGAGCCAGTGAGCTAATGTCTGAGGCACCGCGGAGAGGACCAGAGGTGAGGCCGCCTCTTCCTTTCCACTTTTCAATGCATCTTTTATTCACCTGCAAAACATGGGCATCCGCACCCTGTTCCAACCACACTTTAAAAACAGGCACACCCTGCACTCCCTCAGCACATTTCAGTCTCTCACACACACACACACACACACATACACACACCCTAGCACAAGTATGCAACAGCTAGTGTCATACCATAACTATATTTTTTTTTTTCACCAGAGACATGACAGATCAGAGCCTGACAATTCAGAATTCAGAGTATACATGAAAGACTAAAAAGCTATATAAATATACATCTGCACATCTGCACAAAACGTGACTATAAAGTGCAGACAAACAACCAAAAGACTGATGCATCTGACAACAAATCCCAGCATGCTGTGCAGGTCTGGCACAGAGCTGGAAACTCAAATTCCCTTCAGGAGACCTGCCTCCCTCCCATGTCCCTCAGCATCTGACAGAGGTGTCAGCAGCCTGCGCACGACGGGGCCCCTCAGCAGGACCTTGGCCCCCTCTTATCACTGTGTGTGTGTATGTTCTGGGGAGAGGACTGTGATAGTCAAGCAAGGCCGTGGGGCTGCAGAGTGAGGGTGCTGGATTTCCTTATGAAGTCATTTGCATAGCAAATTGAATATTGTTGTGATTTGAGTCAGTTACAGTGCTGATCTACACAGCTTCACTATGACAGTTTGAAAAGGTGTCAAAAGAAAAGGCTGACTTTATATCTAACGCAGATGCAAGATCTAAAAAACTTGCAGGTTCATTGTTCATCTCACAGCAACAGAGTGGTTAATTTATGGATGACAGTGAAGGTCAACAATCAGGCTTTGACTACAGAGGCAATATGTATTAGTAGAATAAATCAAGTTTGTTTTCCTAGGATTTTTGAAAACTATAGAATATTGTCTGCCTTTAAGAATAGAAATAATAATGGGTGTTGAAGAACATACTTAATAAACAATGTGCAAACTATTCCTTAATAATTAAGAGTGTAAAATCTCCTAATTGACAGAATAAGCTATATACTGTAAATCGTCATGCCACAGAAATAAGGGCAGGAGTAATTACAGGTGACGGGCATGTAAAGGCAAAGTCTTGAAAACAGGCCAACAATGAAATAATCCGTCTAACAAGGCAGCAACTTCCCGTCACACTTCCATGCAGTCACTTACCGTAGAGGGCCTTGGCGCTGATCTTGCTGTCTGATCTGGCCACTCCACTGCAATGACAAGAAGAGGAGACGGGGTTACGCTGCATGTTCTTCATCCTCACCCCTGCACCTCTGGACGTCGGTGTCACAAACGCTCTGAATCACCCACACTGTCACTTCCCATAAACGCAAGTACCACAAAATAGGAGTGATATATACGGAGAGAAGACTGGCCAGCACTGGATGAGATTAGCCTGAGATTCTGAGCATATGGATCAGCCAGGGAGAGAGAGGGAGAGTGGAAAAGGGAGAGAGGGGGAGGGTAAGAGGAGGTGTGTGGGGCACGGAGGGAGGCTAGAGCCAGGAAAACCCAGGCAAAGGCAAACAATTCTCAACAAGAGCCGCTCTGTGCCCGAGGTCCCTGACCCACACCACCTTCTACATACTGGGTTAGTGATTCTCTCGCGCCTGTGTGACAGTAACTCCGCGTAACACACTGAAAGGTAAATATGTGGGGGGGAGCAGGAATGTGTGCGACACTCACTTGGCTTTCCTTGACGGAGGTTCCTGAACACTCATGGTTTAAGGCATCCACCTGGAGAATAAAACAGAGAGGATGATAATCAGAGAAAGAAACAGGGCGGGTGTTGAGGGAGGGAGGTGGCTGAGGGTGGAGTGCAAACATTTTCCACCAAAACAAACATGCATTATTTATTCCTTTTAAAGGCCCTCTAAATGCCTATTGCATCATTTTTGGTGAGCTCTCATGTACAGTCCATGGTGTTAAAGCTTATAGAGCTATTGGTAATACCTCATTAAGGTTGTAGATATGACGTGCAAAGTTCAGCCTGTTCTTCCACTGTGTAGAGCCAGGTGTTGGGCCTGTACTGCTGGTAGTCGGGGGACTGATCTGGGACAATGGCAGACAGCAGGCTGATATGCACTGTGTAATTAGATCCACTCTGTTGACGACTATGTCTGTATAGCTGCAATTCATTAATTGGTTATAGCTATTTGATAATTAGCATGGTGTGCTACATCTAAATCTGGTCAACGAGAGCAGGAAATGAGAGAAGGACACGCCCCCCAAACCTTTCCCTCTGGGTGTGGAGACTCTTTTCTGTCAAGGCATGTACTGATGAGGTTATGTAATAAATCTATCAGGTCTACAGTGCACACTATGGCTAAACACACACTGTAGCTAGACTAACTGTGGACCCTAACGAGCTGTTACACAAAAGGGTGGGCTCCTCTCGGCTTCCTTTACAATACTTTACACTGCAAAGCCACTGATAAGTGCTCCTACGTTATTGGCTGAAGTGAATTGTATTTAACACTGGAGAGAATAATCACCTTTTACCGTATGTGACTTTTAGACTCCAAGGAGCCATGTATCGCTTTGGCCAATGCGTTCAGTTTGTATTATTAATTGGTGGGCGAGAGGTTTGGGTTTTGTTTCACAAGCAAGCATTTTAAGTGCTCTGCAAGAACAATCCAACCTGTAAGATAACAACCTTGTGTAAGGCGTGGGTCCCAGAATAGCTCTGAATATTTCAGTATAATTTTCTAACCAGACTGTTACCACTTGTACTCGGCAGCGTTATGAGACAGACATTTCCTTGTGACACGCCTCCTCTCTGACGTGTTGAACTATTTTTGCATAATGAGGAGCAGTAAACTACATGAGGTAAACACTGTGTATGACAGTTTACAGGTTACAGGCGCGGCCACTCAAGCTTATCGTGCCGCAGATCATTAACTTAATCGGCCTCAACAGATAATCCGCTCATATCTGCTGAAACATAGTGAGGCCAAATCACAGCAACAGCTTTCACAGATATCAACCAAAGTTACTGTGTTCCTGCAGACATGACTTTGTTCAGATGCACACATGTATCTCTCCATGTGACCGGCTTAAAGGATCATCTACAACAAAATCGAACGGAGAAATGCAAATGAGCAAATAAAACGAATCCGATTAACTTTCGTTAGCCTGCACAAAAGGTAGACTTCCTTTTTCTGTCCTTATCTCTCTGGTCGTCATCCCTCCGCGCTATTGTTCGCAGCTCTGGCCCACCGCCAGGTTTCAGGAGGGAGGTGAAGCCGGAGCTGGACAGCTGTCATGTGTTGTCAACCTCATGGCAAGAGGCCCTCCGCACACCTCTCGTCCACTCAGCCTCAGGTGCTTGTTGTTCAATACTGACAACCTCTTATCCAGAGGTAATTACACGGTTTTAGAACAATAATTACGCAAAATAGAGGCTGAGTGTGCAGGATGCTTATCTTGCTCATAAAGGCAGCTATGTCTCATATTTAATTCTACCTTTTCTCAAATTAGCTGGTGATATATTTAGATCTTTCATTTTTAATTGAAATTAGGTGTTGTCATATTCATGCTGCTTTCTGTGACAACAAATCAGAGCGATGAGAGTAACAATGAAAGTCAACCAAATAATCTGTGTTGTTTCTTTTTTTCACATGTTAAATCTAATTTTGTTTTTAAACTCGTATAATTGTATTATCTAATATTTGAACAGTTAATAAATCAATAACTACACATGAGATTCTGCGATCAGTTTACGCACAGAGGATGTCATGAGCTGTTTTGCATGACAACAACCTGACTTTATGTACCAAGTGTAAAACTAAAACAAAACAACTGATTTTTAGCAGCTTGAGTCTGAAACACATTTAATGCCACAACATGATAACTTCATGATATCATATGATAAGTTCATATAAAGCAGCACAATCACACTCCCAAACAACAACTGCTCGAACACAATAAGTATCTATCGTAACACACCTGGAGCTTAATCAGAGGATTTCAGAAAGCCTGACAACAAGAATCACAACTGACGTGCACATTATTGGTGAAATAAACCCAGTGTTGACAGTATCATACCACGGTTTTCTTTTAGCATTATAACCAAAGTGTGCTGAGATCTCAGCAAGTAAATGTTAACCAAACTCGTACTTCAATATCAATATCAACACCTTTTGACATTGTCATAATACAAAACTAGAAAATATTGACAGCGATAGTTTATGTGCTGTGTCTGAAAAAA